CAGCCGGATTTGTTTTTGCTGTTGCCACTTTCAAGTAGATATGGAAAAATGGCTTCTACGCTAAGAATCTCAGAATTCTGGGAATCACACCAGAGTTTATGACATGCGTTATGGAATACTTTAAGTCTTCTAGAGCAGCTTCTTCACAGGCATAATCACTGCAAAAACTACCAAACAGATATGCACTGTGGATTTCCTGTCCTTGACACAACTCTTATGTGTCAGCAGAAACTAGATGACATCAGCTACAACTGCTTTATGATACTACTGTAGATGAATTTCTGATGGCTCCTTCAGGTCACTTTCTTGCCTCTGACTCTAAATTTATGATATTAATAAAACGATGGAGGCAAGTAGGATGAATTCTACAGAACATCACAACTAAAAAGATCGACTAGTCAGAAAAACATAACAAAACAAGCCAATCATAACCAAAGATTAACATCTTAACAGCTCTGAAGGAGACTAATAACCTTTACAAGTTCTAATGACATCATACTTGGCTGGAGTAAACTCATTTAGTCACTAAAGGGCACCTGACTTGTGTATCATCATGAAACAGCCTCTTCTCCATTTTGAGAGTTTGGTTTAGAAGTAAAACTAGTACGTCTCTTTGGTCTTTAAAGTAGATTAATGACTGTTTTAAGAAGAATATACTATCTAATTAAAAATGACGAAATAAATCAGTCCTGTGGAAAAATAGTAATCTCTCCCTATGTTTCATTCAAACCCAGTTAAATATTTTTCCATGTATTTTCATATTGAGCTATCTGTTTCACAAGACTTATTTCCTATTCTTCTTCAACTGAGTAAAGGGGATGTTCACACTGGCAAAATCTTTATTTTTCTTTAGGAAAACATATTACTTAAAACTCTGTGTTTCAAAACTACACACTGTGAAGCCAACAACAATAAAATGATTCACAACAATATTTGAATACTAATGAAAAAATAGCAATTCTTTGACTTTTCTGTGTTTAATTGAATCAGCTATTTCAGTGTATTATGGGAATACATTTATCAGAATCAGCAGAGACCAAATGTTAATTATGAAGGCCAAGCACAAATGAATAATCTTATGTATAGACCCTGACACATTAGAACTGCAAAGCACTCTGCAGATCTTATTTTATGAAAATGTACTATGAGCAAAAATGTATAGGCCCTTAGGAAGCAATTATCCCTAAAAGATTTAGCCATAATTCAATCTGAAATATTATAAGAGATTTTTTAAAATGGTTTCACAAAGAAGAGGATTATTTTACTTTAACTATGGAAACAGGGGCCCACATGTTTCTCTGAATGACCTCTATGCAGTTGTGGGCATTGCCTGGAGGGAAGGTTTAAAATCGTCCTTTTCATTCAATTAATACAACCCCTATCACCAATAAGAAAACTATAAAAATTAGGAGTATCAGTTTGGAACTGTGGGAACGAATGGCTCACATCACTATAAGGAATGCAACAAATACATTAAATATGGAAATTTTAAATAAAGTACTGCCAATATCTATGACAGAGATTGGATAAGAAGAGCTATCTTACCAAAGATGTGCAGATGTTATAATACACAGTAAGACGAATGGCACAGTATAGGTCTATATAGCATGCCTTATGTGTCATATGTTTTATTTGTCACATAATCCTCAGGTGTGGCATGGGATCCAAAAGTGCGTAAAAACCAAAGTATGCAAGAGTGCCTCTTTGTGATCCCTAGATTCTGGATCTGGCCAATTTACCACCAGCATACCTCTCCCATGATTACAAGCTGTGTCTCTGCTGCTTCACCTCACTCAGGAGTCTATGGGCTGCTACTGCCTCAAAGAAAGGTGGCAGTAGCCCTGTGAGCTAATACAATTAAAAATAAAGCTGAAAACTTGTAGCTTATCTTACCTATTAGACCATACCGTCAGTGGAATGAAATAGGTTTCTTGTGGATGGGTCTTATGCTTTTTTCCTTCTGAACAGCTCACAATTGTGAGATGAGTTTAAAATGCAAGAAAATAAAAATAACCCATTGGGTTTTGCTGTTAAATGTATTTCAGGAACCCACAGAGGCAATGATCTCATCTTTTATGACAAACTTTTATGCCATCCTTAACCTAGTTGATCCTGATTACTGTATTTTTATCCAGTTAAGACTGCAAGGATGCTTGCACCACGTCTGATGTTTACACTTCCATGACTCCCTGAAGAAAATCTAAAACAGATCAAATTCCTCATCTACTTCCTATCACCAAAACACATCTTTTGCCAAACTGAATCAGACAACATTAATTAAGTTTAAGAGAGTATGGAAAATTCAATATTTTTTTAAAAAAACTTTCTTAACAGAAACTGTCCTGGATAGACGTCGAAGCAATACCTGGACTCCTTCTGCAGGACAGGTGTTTAAACTGGAATTAATAGTACCTAGTGCAGTTCCCAGTCTGCACATGGATGTGGTTAAAGTAAATCATAGAATCGTAGAATTGCTTAGGTTGGAAAAGACCTTTAAGTTCATCAAGTCCAACTGTTAACCTAGCACTGCCAAGTCCACCACTAAACCATGTCCCTAAGCACCACACCTACACGTCTTTTAAATACCTCCAGAGACGGTGACTCAACCACTTCCCTGGGCAGCCTGATCCAGTGCTTGACAACCCTTTCGGTGAAGAAATTTGTTCTGAATTTCTGTTTTGGTGAAGAAATGTAGTTCTCTGGGTCATGGTGAAAATAAAAATAGTTGTGTTGATATTTAACCCTGCACTACAGAGACAAATGGTCTGTCTTATTTCTCTGAAAATGGTCAGATGACCAGAGGAGAGGAGACAGGAGGAGACTCTTGAGTCTGTACATGCACTCTGCATGTAGCACTTACAGTAGCTACTGAGTGCATATAAGAGGCAGGAGGTGGCAGCTAAGAACAAGAGGGTTTCACAAGGGAGGTGTGAGCCAAGACCCCAGAAGACCCTGTCAGGGGGCTCTGGCTGGTTGTTTCTCTGGCAGGGAGCTCTGCCTCTGATGGCATCAGGAGCACCCTAGCCAGCTGCAGCCAGGCCCCGAGCACCAGTCAAACCTATTTCTAAAGGAGTCGCTGACACGACTTTCATTCCTACCAGCCAGTCCATATTTTCCAGGCTGTAGCCACACTAAAAAAGAGTGATAAGCTTTTCATTTACATGAGCACTTCGGTCAGGATGAGTGTTCATATGCTGAATATTAAAGCTAACTACTATTGCCAATATTTTATTGGGGCATTTTAAAGTTTTCAAGGTCAAGAATTCAACTTGACCCATTGGCCTTTTCAAAAGTACTCTGATGGACCTGTCCTCACTGTAGGCAACAGTAATAGGGACTGAGACAAACTCTACAGAGGAACAATATTAAAAAAAGTTGAACTTTACAAAAAATTGAAAAGCATTCCTTTTTTCCTCCCCAGAGTCTCATCTCTAAAAGACTAGGATCAATTAACCTCTAACTTTGAAAAATCAAAAAATGCCTGTAACAGCCAGAAATTAAATTTTTTAAAGATTAGGTGCTGGGAGAGCAATATCAGGTTTAGAATGAAATCCTAGTAACACTCCGAACTATTAAGTAACTTCTTGCTCTGAAAATAGAATTATTCTGTAAGCATTATGTCAGGCAATATTAAATGTAAAAAGTGTCATTTCAATAAAACATTTTTGTTTTCTAACAGAAAGAATCTATGCATAATATTTTCAATGACACAGAAAAAACAAGTCAGCACGCAATTAATGAAAAACAATACTATGTTCAGTAAGTAGCAAGCTTGGTAAGCACTAACTCTTAGTGATACCTGATTCAAAACAATACTATTATCATGGTCGGAAGCAGCCCTGAATGTTTACAATCTCTATTTCTAGTCATCTGAGGATGGATTGCACACCTGATTTTGTAACATTCACCACAGATTCTGAGAGCAATTATAAACCCACGGAACATACAGCATTCGTGTGACACACAGCCTCTCTCTGTTTATTCATTACACTTTTTTTTTACTGAGAAATGTCAAACTACACAAGGATTTACCTTAATTCCTACACTTCGCATCGGTCAAGTTGTTGCATGAATAATGAAGTTTCCTGAATATTTAAAAAAATGAAAAAGGAGGCAGAGGAAAACCTGCATATAAGTGAGATACATTTGGATCTTGCCACCCAAATCAAACAGTTTTAAAATGACAACACTATCAACTTCTGTATTTATATTGTCTCTCCACTACCCATAAAAGAGATTTTTAAGAATATAGTGGTTCAATAGGTGTGCATGATGCTTGCATATCTTACCTGGCATAGTCTCTTATTCTGGCTAGCGGTGAGATTGCTGGTTATGTAGCTATCAATTCCACCGACGTTACAATTTCCCTTTCTCAAAGCAGCAACAACCTGTCACTTTACACTGTCCTTTCTCTGACCCTCTCCCGCATCTCTGCTCATTTTTATTCCTATTGACAAGACTTATTATTCCTCCTCCCGATTCCAACTAGCTACCCTTTTGCAAATACTAGTATCAACTATGTGGTCACTAGTAGTATAGGTCAACAATGTTATTAATATAGCACACACTGCTGGGAGCAGATCAAACAGCCATGCTTTAAAATATTAGTTTTGCAAAGGTACCACGAGGCAAATAGTTGCAGTTTTCTTTATGTTATTAAATATAATATTGTAAGAACAGACCTCCAGAATTTAGTGTTAATTTACACGCCAATAATTTGGAGGATATGTTATTTTTTTCTTGTTGTTTTCATACACAAAATAAAACCATAACAGAAGGGTGCTGTATCTGTGTTTAAAGAAGGGGTTGTTGGCAAACACCATAGCTCACTTCTGCCGAAATGTACACAACTGATATATGCAGCCCAGAAAGCTGGCACCAGGGGCTTACAACCTTAATTTGCCTGCAAGAAGAAATGGAGATTTACCTTCAGAGCACGTTCTTGATTGTTTTCAGCAGTCAGATGTCTCGTGTTGTTTGCTGAAGTCTGGTTCTGCTCTTTCAGATGATGAAGCTCCTGCTCCAGCCGTTTGCACTGCAACGAGGAAAGAATCCCATTAAGTAGAGGAGTGTGGGCATATTTTTTTCAACAAGCCAAATGAATTAACGTAAATAACCCCATCGCCATTTCTGCAGTAGTGAAAGCATCAGACAAAAGCAAGTTACAATTTCAGACAAGTACTGGAGCTACATTTTTTAAATGTGCTTCATTATTCAGTTTCTCCCTGGTCCAACTGTATGCCAAAAAAGGCTAAGTTTAGTAACAGATGAAGACATTTTGCAGAGTGTTTTAAAAAGTCTTAAAAATATCAGGTTGAATTTCTGCTCCTAGATATGCCAATATAAGGCTAGATTTTGGCTTTTATGTGTTAAGTAAGTGGACATAAAGGAAGCAAGACATGCTTTCGGAAAAGCAAGCAAATGAAAGACGCTCCTCCCAAATCCAGGACCCAGTCTTTTATTAGAAAATATACATGTAACTTTTATACTTGCATTTTTCACACTAAGAGATTACTCTAACTACCAAAACCACACATCTTGAAAGAAAAGAAGTTTTAAGATTGTTTTGTTTAAATATTTAACTTAATGACAAAGAATGAAAAATTTAACATTTGCTACTGTGTGCATATACGCATTTACTCACTGCTGTCAGCTGAACATCTATTTTAAAGATTAAAGATCTGCAAATTGTGAGCTAAACTATATTTCGCTGTTTTTTATGGTAACCGTAAGAGGCCTTGCCCAGTTACCTTGGCTTGAAAGTAATTATCTGTCAGCAGACAGTTCATTGTCTTATGAAAAAAATCCTGGTTTACAGAACAATAGCAAAAACCCACAAAGTAACAGGAAGATGAAGGGTAACAACCCTTAGAACTAGGGAAAAACACAGCATCAGCAGGAAAATTTTAAAACAATATATTACAAGCAAGTAGTTTAGCTATCACCATCAAAACCCAAAGCTGATAGACTCTGTTGGAATAAAAGAAAATTAATTGATAAAAAGTATTTTAATAAATATTTTCTGAAAACACTAGTAAGAAAGGAATGAGAACTGTGATACAATGCTCATGTAAGCATTGCTGTCTCAAATGAAAGACCCGGAAACATCAGTCTGTTGTGCTATCTTAGTGACTGTGGAAGACACAGAACTGCGCTTCCCATCAAGTACATACAACCTGTGCAATTCAGTACGTGGGACAATGAAGCATGCTTCATGTCAACTCTAAAAAAAGAAAAACTGTGAAACAGAGAGCTGTAGGACCACAAAAATTATAACTAAGGTCTAAGTAAAATAAGGAATACTAAAGGAACTCAAGACAAATTTTAAAGACATACCAGTACAAAAACTTCTTAAACACAAAAATAAGTCCTTAAGAATGTACTGCACATCAGGTATCCAGCATAGTATATAAACCAGAGTGATTCAATCCTGTATTTGAATAAGTTTTAAGTAATCGTAGGTGTCCGGCAGTACTATTAAAAAAAATCAATTCACATATCTGTTGTTGTATTTCATTACTTCTGTTAGAAATCTGGGCTCATTTCTAATAGGATTAGTTATTTTAAAGGCAGCAAATCTCTCTGGCCTAGTGCATTCTCTCAGTGTCTGTTGTACAGTTCCTTAACGCACAGTTTCATTTTTATTGAAAAAAAAAAGAAAAATACACTTTCCCATAAAATACGGAAATACAGAAAAAATGTTAAGATATATTTGATTGCAAATATTTTTACAGTCTTAAGACATTTAATGCCTATGTTTATCTCACAAACATGAAAGAATCACAAATCACAGAATCACAGCTGTAATTCTTTTTCCATGTCCAGTACAAAAATTATGTGTCTGGAGACGTGAAGGTGCAAATAATACTGTTCTTCAAAACAGCACTTTGGAATTCCAAATTTGAAAACAGCACACATTTCTTACAGTAAATATTATTAAAAAGGCCAAAATCTCAATCTACCTTTAAAACATGAATTTATATTCATGCTATTCTATTGATTCCAAAAGGGAAGTGAAAACATGCTAAGAGCAAAACCTAGCTACAGGACCACAGGGAAAAAGATCTTGATGTACAGGGCATGTTGCACAACTCAGGGCATGGGTGCAAACTTATCCTTCTCTCCACTTCACTCCTGTGAAGACAGGACAGTGAAATGGCAGCAGTGGCACTCTAGTCATGCAGCATATAGAGCATGTACGACAAAGATGCAACACAAGTAACATAAAATGGATGAACGTCCTTATCAAGTCAACTTTAACATGATTACATTTACATCAATCTTGGTAACGTTTTGTAATTCATCTTTAATCTCACTTTCACTAAGAATGTTGATATCTGTAAAAAAAAAAAGGCATATTCAATCAACATACTGCTTGAATCAATTTTGAGGCTATAATTGAAAGAAATGGCGATTTAATCTGAAGTTTGCCCATAAATGTCTTTAAATGTTGGAAGTAATGTATTAATAGAAGATGTTCTGAATTATCAATCAAAACGTATTTACTCCTAGCTGTTTAGGAAGTAAAATCTTTAATTATCCTGTTTGTGAAAGTATTATAATACTCTTAAATGGCAACATTGTGTATGTCTTACTAAAATTTTATACTCTACAACACTTTGATACCTGAACTACTTTTAAAACCTTAAAATAGCATTCTAAAAGCAAGCACTCTTTTTCATAAGAACACGAGCATATGGAATTTCTGTGTAATCTTGCTATAAAGAAAAGTTTTAAAAATAGAATTTAAAACAATGCAGTCCTTCTATTCATTTGAGCCAACATTTTTTGAATTCTGTGTCATTGGTTGTTAGCAAGGTCCAGTAAAAATAGATGTTCTTTAAAAGAACATGTGTTTTTATTGGTTCACTCCAGGGCTCTAAAATGCCAACAGCTGCAAGTAAAAAACTGGATTTCCTTCTAAAAACACATAAAAATACTTTCTGGAGCACAGTGAAGAGAAGACATGGTCCAATTCAGCACTGGCAAAAAGGAAATGTTGGATGTATCCTTTTAAGAAAGCTGAAAGCTAAAGGAAGTGTTTCATTTTGAACATTATAAATAAGAATGTCTAAATCCTGTTATTCCAAACTTGTGAAAATTCATACTTGGGAAATCTTCAAACAGAATCCTCTTAAAGTCAGAGACAAAATATTTTGTGTAACACAGATTGCCTAAACATCTGATCTAAGGTGTAACTGTGCACTTTAAATGGAAGTTCCCATGAATTTAACACTTCATGAAAGATGGGCTGTTAATTGAGAAAACTGCTTCTTTACCTCAGATATTTTGAGTACATCAAGGAATATGAGAGCAGTGTAGATGTATGTCAAAGAGAATATGCCTTGATCAGAATGCTAGAGACTTTGCTAAATAAAGGACATTAAAGCCTCACAAATGGTAACATGCCATTTTATAAAGGTTTCACACAAACAATCCACAAAGAATTAGCTTCATTGCGCGGTCTACTGTGTGCATTCAGAGTTCTGTAGCCAGAGGGGTAATACTGAAGATAAAAAAACTCAAAACAAACCAAAAACCCAACTAGAAAAAGGTTTCCTCTCTTCTTTCAAGCCCTCATGTTTATTCTCCTCTCTGAATATAGTTCCCTCAAAAAGTCTCTCCTACCTTAGCTAGCCTCATTCAGGTGATAATATACTTGCCACACAGTAAACCTCTTTAAGCATACTTCAGGTGTTCCCTGAGCAACCATCAGTGCCCAGCTGTACAGTTTTCACTACAACATCATCCATTCCCAGCAATAGGCACTCAATCTTCTCTTTAGCCATACTTCCACAGTGCAACCCAGCTGTGCTTTTCTAAATGCACTCAGTCTTTCCAAACAAATACCCCCGTACCCAGCAAAGGGCATATCACAACTAAGACACAAAATGAAAAGCAAAGCAGGTAACATACCAAAAGGACAAGAAGAGATTCAGACAGGACAGAAAGGATAGACAGTAAGTACACTTGTTCTTCCCTCACATCTTCTAATTTAAACCATTAGACTGTGGAGCCTTGTTTAATGAGCATCAGCTAACACGATTCAGCAGAACGGGGATGCTTGTGAGAGGCACTGTTTCAACCCACGGCAGGTGCTGACCCCTTTCAGTGACTATGCGGGTGGGAGGGTTGAGAATGGCAGAGGGAAAATCCAGACAAACTGCAAAAAGGAGCACCTGCTAAAGGGGACACTGATGGAGGGGTCAAGAAGTGGACCAGGGGAGTATCACTGAGTAAAGTCCTTGAGGCTCACCGAGAAAGAGACTGTTAAAAGATGGTCTTAGTTCCAGGTACACAAAAGGAGTAAAGATGGTTTACAATTAATTGAGCATTTCATAAGATAGAAAAATCAATGCAGATAACCACTTAATAGTGTTTGGCCTTTACTAGAAAATGAGGTTGCATTAACATATCAAACATAACTTTAGCACTTGTATAAACAAATCATCTTTAACATGCTGTCAGCTTTTCAGCATTTTCTTCTACTTGTATGTATGTTAACACGGTGTTATGGTGGCTGCCGTGTCTACGCAGATTGATGAGTTATTTTTTGATAGTTACTTCACATGATTCTTCAGGGAGGTGTTCTGCAAGTAAAAGCTACAGACATTACATAAGAATAAAGAAAAATCTGCAAGCCACTGGAGAAATAATAGTAGTAGGGACAAAGATGGAATACAGCAAAGCATTAACACGGAACAGAGCCAACCCTGGGGTCTCTGTTCAGTTTGTTTACACGAAGACAACACCCACCCCCAGGGGCCTCACGCAGTCGCGTATTTAACTCTGCGCTGCTCAGGTCGATCAGACTGTTCACATGCTTTCAGACAGACACAAATGTTTTGCTACACTGGGGTCCCTGGTTCCCTGGCTCTCAACTCACTGAACTAGATAGTAATGTTGGGTCCACTACTCATTTTGTATTTCAGCACAGGTTTGACCCAGAGAAAGGGTACTGTGACACTTGGCTGGGGAAGCGACAGCTAAAGCTGAATATAATAGAAAACTGTAACACTTCCTTGCTACAAATGT